GGGGGTGGGGTGGATGGGGTTGGCTCATTCTGATATTGCATTTCCTGCGGTGGGAAGCGTCTGACCTCTGACATTCCGGGAGACCTATGTCACAATTGTTTCTGACTTCCTGTATATAATGAAAGTCGATCATCTGTCTGGCAGGTGTAGGAATAGGAGTGGTGCATGCTGGGTACGAGAGGCGGCTCGCCCACCACCTTGGCGCACATAGCACGCCGTCCATCCTGGGCGTCATCAACGGGAAGATCTCGTTCTTCCATAATGCCGTGCTGAGGGAGAACCTGCGTCACTTTGTGGAAAGTCTCCTCCCGGGGAATCTGGTGGACAAGGTGAGATTTGTTTTCCTGGGATGTCTTCGGGAAGAAGCTTTACGATCCCTAAACGTTCCCGTCTCTGCTTCCAGATAACCGATAAAAACTACGTCCGCTTCCTCTCCAACTGGAAACAGGAGAATAAGCCCCACGTGCTGCTGTTTGATCAGATGCCCCCGGTGCCCCTCATCTACAAGGTAAGAGCTGCAGGGGCGTGTACGATGGATGTGACCGCACTGTGAATGTGTTATGCGGCTGAAGTTCCTGAGGGATCACATGATCCATTCCAAGAGGTCATGTGACCCGGTACAGGTGGCCATTCATAGGCCTGGCATGTTGTACCCTCATCTACTTTTCTGTAATACAGATTAGCAGCTGACGGCCCCGTATGGGTAGATGGCATTAGTAAAACATTCACACTAAGTGAAACTGAGCGGGTGGGAGGAGTTATAGCCTCAAGTGGGGCTGGGCTTTATTTTTTATATGTGCCTGGTGTTCATTTCTCCTGTAGGTGGCAGTATAACCCTATGTGGCTTAAAGGAGAACTCTGGGGTTAAGGCTTTTCCCCATAGTTCTCCTTAGGGTAACGGGAGGACACAAACTAGCGTCCTCCCATCACCCTAGGCTCAGTATATAGCGGGCTACAGCTCGCGGTATACTGAGACGCCGGAGCAGATCCCGACATCGATGTCCACCCAGCTGCGTGAGTGACAGCTGGCTCAGCCTATCTAGAGGCAGAGCCAGCTGTACCCGCCCCCTCCCCAGTCTGTTCCACCAGTCAGCGCTATGGGAGAGGGGAATCCAGCCCCTCCCCTGTCACGGCAGAGAGCCGTGACAGGATCGAGAGGTGAGCGAACGCCGGTATCTGTTCCCTCACCTCCCGATCTACTGAGCCGACCTGTGACAGTCTCATTGTCACAGGTCGGCTAGAACTATGAGGTGAGTGAAAAGCCCCTCCCCCTCATAGTTCTCCTTTTAACGATAGTCCTGCTGTATTCTGATTGTCTTGGCAGGGGTGGGCACCTCCAGCTGTGGTGACAATACAAATCCCATCATGCATCTGCCGCTGGGAATCATGCCTATGGCTGTCAGTCTGCAATGCCTCATGGGACTTGTAGTTCCACAAAGGCTGGAGTACTAAGTTTGCCCACACCGGCTTTAAACCTTTCTGTCTTTGGGGGAAATGTGTTTTCTCAGTCGTGTTTTGTTTCCATCAGCTCACCGCGTTTGCCTATAAAGATTACCTGTCATTTGGCTACGTGGACCTCGGCCAGAGAGAGACGGACCAGATGAGCAGCCAATACAATATCAACATGTACGCCCCGACCATGCTGGTCTTCAAGGAGCACATCCACAAGCCGGCCGATGTGGTGCAGGTATGTTGCGGGTCTTCGCTCTGAGGAATGTATACCGTCCGAGCTTGTGTACACAGGAACTCCTTCATTGTCCAGACAAGTCGACGTGGAAGCAATGGCCGCCATTCCGGCTGTCTGGCGATCTTCTTTTACCGAGACGGCGCCGCTCTGCTTTTCTTTCAGGCGCGAGGAATGAAGAAACAGGTCATCGATGACTTCATCTCCACCAACAAGTTCCTCCTAGCGGCCCGGCTGACCAATCAGAAGCTGTTTCAGGAGCTGTGCCCCGTGCGGAAGTCTCACCGGCAGCGCAAGTGAGTAGCGCCACATACGCTAAACGTACATTTGCCGTTGGCGATCATTCCGCTACCATCAGCCGATCAGTTCTCCACCAAAAACCTTCCCAGTTGGTGTTTGTAACAGAGGGCCGAAGTCATTTCCGGGACTATCTATAGCTGTGGTTCTCAACCTGTGTAACCTCAGGACCCACATCTGCCCTTAGTCATTAAGTGGCGGTCCAAGTCGCACGGCATTAGGGTACCGCGCGGTCCATTGCAGGAGTACAAAGTGTAGGCGGGAGCTGCGGCCGGCGGGAGTGTGGGCGGGTTGGGAACTGCGGCCGGCGTGTGGGAAGGGCGGGAGCTGCGGCCGGTCTTTACACAGTTTATGTGCAGCTACCCTGAAAGTAAGGCCTAGCGGATTTCTGCAATATAAGACCTACCACCGAACTAGGTCTTATTTTCGGGGTAGGTCTTATGTTACAGAAATCCCTGAAGATAGCGCTAGGTCTTCCTATCGGGGTAGGTCTTACTTTCGGGGAAACACGGTACCTTACCAGAAGCGGAGTGGATCCTCAGCCTGGAGTCCAGTGCTGGGTTGCTGTGCTGTGGCGGAGCTCCATCCATATGTGCGTTGCCTGTGCAGCTCCCTTGTGGCCCCTGTGGTGATGCCGGGAGCCAGAGTGTGATGTCACGCCAGTCCAGGCACCTCTACATGTCACGTGAGGGAGCTGTAAGCAATGTATGGATGGAGCTCCCTCGCGGCCATAGTTCCAGCCCACTCCACCTCAAGCTGACACTCGGTGCCGAACAACATATTTTGAATGGGTTCTTGCCGCGAGAACTGACATTGCTGCGCTAGGGGGAGGCTGAGAAGCTTCTCACCTAGAAAAGTGGAAGGCACGCAGCGACCCACAGAACACGGGGTCGCGACCTACTTTTGGGTCACGACCCACCAGTTGAGAACCAGGGATCTATAGTTACCCTTCGGGGGGGGCAGTTTGTGGCCTTATACCGATGTGTCTTTCCTGTAATCTTTCCAAGGTACTGTGTCGTTCTGTTAACGGGAGAGGGCGAGCCGTTCCGGAAAACCTACGAGTCCTTCCTGACCTTCGCCTCCGCCAACACCAAGGACACGGTCCGGTTCGTCTACGTCTACAAGGAGCGGCAGAGGGAGCTGGCCAGCATGCTTCTGGGCGAGGACATTCACCCGGCAGACTCCTCGGTATGTATAGAAGTGAAGGACTTTGCGTGATATGTTATGTTCTCCTCACCGACGTTCTGCTCTTATACGAGGCCCCTGTGACCGAGCCGTCCCTTCTCCCGGCAGGTTTCCATACTGGAGCGGAGGAATTCGGCCGGCAGAGTCGTCTATAAGACTCTGGCTCACATCTGGAGTGGGAGCGAGGACAACAAGTTCTCTCTGCTGGACTTCCTGGC